GACCTTGACCAGGCTGAGTTCCGTTGGCAGAGCGGACCCAGTCATCGAAGAAGCGGTCCCAGCTGTAAGTGGGTTCGTAGTAGTATACAGACATGTTTGTAGTGTAGAGTTGAGAGCGTTAAGAAGCTAGTAGTGTTTGCAGTAGTTTTTGTTGATTCTGGAGATTTTGAGTGTTTGATACGTCCCTTTTATCCTCGTCCACAGCCTGACCTTGATTTTTCTCGAACGCTCTGTTTTGCATCATCAGGACATTGGATGTGATGTCAAGACGAGACAGCGGGAATTTTCGAGAATGACCGTGACGCGTCGCGTAGGTCACGTGTGCTACGTGTTGTTTTCAGTCCATGATCGCGAGCTTCAAGTTGAGATAAGATTGGAGCGAAAGTGAGTAGCTCGCACTATTTCAGATCTACGCCTGGCGTTGGATAATTTGCTAATGCAATAGTAGACTACTAGTTTTTTGGAATACCCTCTGCTGAGCGTTCTTCAAGGCTGATAAGTGTCCGTCTTGAAGTTGAGATGTTCACAGTATCTAGCTCTTGTGTGTTCCATTCAATGCCACTGACTGGTCTCTACTGTAAAGAATTGCAAACGATACTGGTGTATTGCCTTGGATTGGTCCTTCAATGCCTTGTCCTGCTCATTTTTTCCCTGTTGGCTCCCTTGACGCTCCAGTTCCGCTGTTCGATCGGTATCATGAGTTCTTATTGGACGGGTGAGAGGTTTGCTCTGAGGATTCAAGGAATGACGAGTTGGTGGGCATTGAATACACGCGGTATGAGCTTTTCAAGGTTTCTTTTTCACTATTGTCATGTCTGCAATTCACGACCTCGGTTCCGAGTTTGCGTGTCAGTCCCATCTTCTCTCAGCGCTATTCATCCAAGTAAATGCCCACTGCGTTTAGGTGTCTTGATGTCAAATTTTCATATAGAAGAGAAGTTACAGGGTAACGTCTTTTGTATCTCATGTCTGCATCATGTTCCTTCATCTCCTGTTATGCGTCGACTTCTACCTTAATATCAATCAAAATCAGTACCCCATACCTCATTGCAGAAGCTTTCAACTCCACGTCTAAGAGTCCAGGGAAGGTGTTTTGCGTTCTTGTCTCAGCATCCCGTTGCCCAACATGCATACTCGACCGTCCCTTTTTTCTCAGTTGACTAATTCCACTTCCGAGTCGGGTTTAGGAACCCGATGTCACTTTTCGTCCCATTTCAGTCAAAGGCTGAGAGTCTTGCTTTGATACATCAAAGCGTCTCTCACTGTCAACGCTCGTGCCCGCCTCCCGGTATGGACTGGGTTGTATTAAACCCGGTGTTATCTGTGCAGTATGATGTCATCTTTCTCTACCTCAACTCTTGAAGCGTAGTACTCAACTTTGTTAAACGCTGAAACCGTCAAGTACAGACTCGGTGTACATGTACTGGTGGATTACCCGGATAAAGCGATGATGTTGATACTGAGAAGCGGCGGGACATGACGACGATGCCTCTATCTCCCGGCGCAACTCGATCCCTCGATCCTTTTTGGCTGTAGTGGTATTAGTAAATCCCGGCCTCAGCCTGGTACACGAACACCGTGCATAGCCGTAGACCTCTAGGGTCAACGAGTCGACGAAACGCCTGAAAATTCCGATAGTTTTCCTATGGTTGAGAGTAACTGAGAACGATTTACACCCATCAGGAACCGAGAGTGTCCGGTTCAAGTTTTGACAGCAACGGCCGAGGGTCGGTAAGATTGATGAAATCGGTGAAGTCACGGAATAGTGGACCGGGTGGGTCCGCGCTCCAAATATAACAAGACTTTTACGACTCGAGAGATTTCCATCTTCTTCACTACCACCACCACAACCTCGAACAAAATGCCAGGAGCAGACTCTGAATTCCCCATCGACCTCAACCAGTTCAAAAAGTCTGTTTGATTCACATTTAGAGTTGGCCTTTTCACTGACTTTCACTATCTACACGCACGTTCCTTTTGATAGACTATCCCTCGACCCCAAGAAGCCCCAGTTGACAGAAACCGAGCGTGCTACGCTCAAAGCCAACATCCAGCTTTTGCGTGATGTTATCGTGCTCTTCACTGCTACCGGTGCTGCTCGAGGTGTCAGTGGACACACTGGTACGTCCGCTCTCAACATCGACTTAGGATCGCGCATTACTGATAGGTTTTATCGATAACAGGTGGTGCCTATGACACTGTCCCAGAAGTATGCATGCTCCTCGCGATCCTAGATGCATCTCCTTCCAGCTATGTCCCCATCCTTTTCGATGAAGCTGGTAAGCACATTGCATTCGATCGTTCCTGATCTCCATTAACCCTGGTTTCGATCAGGTCACCGTGTCGCGACTCAATACCTTCTCTCCGCCCTCGAAGGCTCTCTCCCCGCCTCTCATCTCCTCCACTATCGTGAAGCCAACTCCAAACTTCCCGGTCACCCTGAACTTGGTCTTACTCCTGGAGTCAAATTCTCCTCGGGTCGTCTCGGCCACATGTGGCCCATGGTGAACGGTATTGCACTTGCTAACCCTGGCAAGAAAGTCTTTTGTTTGGGCTCTGATGGATCTCAGCAAGAGGGTAACGATGCAGAGGCTGCAAGGCTCGCTGTTGCCAAGGGCTTGGACGTCAAGTTGTTCCTCGACGACAACGATGTTACTATCGCTGGTCACCCGTCTGAATACCTCAAGGGTTACGATCTGGGCAAGACTTTGGAGGGGCATGGGTTGACCAAGGTTTTGACCGTTGATGGTGAGGATGTTGATGCGCTTTGGAAGGCGGTTGCAGAGGTTGTTTCTTGCGAAGGACCCGCTGCAGGTGAGCACGGTTCTTAATGTTTCTCAATGTGTTGTTAACACGCGTTATAGTCATCTCCAAGCGAAAGATGGCCCCTGGTATTACCGACATTGAGGGCAGCCCTCACGGACACGACGTTATCCCCGTTAAATCCGCCATCAAGTACCTCGAAGCGAGAGGATATCCCAACTTTGCCGACATCCTCAACAACATCAAGCCTCAGTCGCAACCCTACTTGTATGTTGGTTCCTCCAAGGACCTCGGTGCAAACCGTGTCGTCTTTGGTGAGGCTGTCAACTTGGTGTTGGACAAGCTCAGCAAGGAAGAGGCCAAGTCCAAGGTTATGGTCATTGACAGTGAGTGTTTGTTACTTCTTTTCAGCCTCGACTAACATGTTTTGCAGGTGACCTCGAGGGTTCCACCGGTCTCAAGGTCATTCACCAAAAGCACCCAGAGGTCTTTGTCACCTCCGGTATCATGGAGCGTGGCAACTTTTCCGCAGCGGCCGGTTTTGGTTTCGACAAGGACAAGTTTGGTGTCTTCTCGACTTTTAGTGCCTTTTTGGAGATGGTTGTTAGTGAGGTTACGATGGCAAGGTTGAACAACTGTAATGTTCTTTGCCATTTCTCACATGCCGGAGGTAAGGGCTCTTTTCCCCTACGTATTGTAGCGTCTCTAACGGGTTCGTAGTTGACGAAATGGCCGACAACACCTGCCACTTTGGTGTCAACAACATGTTTGCCGACAACGGTCTCTCCGACGTCGAGTCCTTCCTCTACTTCCCCGCTGACGCTGCTCAAATGACAGCCGTCATCCAACGCGTCTTTTTCGAACGCGGTGTCCGCTTCGTCTTCTCCACCCGTTCCAAAGTTCCCTACATCCTCAAACCCGATTCCACCGATCGCTTCTTCGGCCCCGACTACAAATTCGTTCCTGGCAAAGACGAAATCATCGTCGACGGTAAAGCCGGATACGTCGTTTCTTTCGGTGACATGCTCTACAGGAGTTACGATGCCGTGTTGAGGTGTAGACAAGAAGGCCTCGACGTTGGTTTGATCAACAAGCCCACGTTGAACATTGTCGATGAGCAGACGATTATGAAGATTGGGCAGTCTCCGTTTGTGTTGGTTGTTGAGAGCTTTAACCAAAAGACGGGTCTTGGAATGAGGTTTGGGACTTGGTTGCTTGAGCGTCAGCTTACGCCCAAGTTTGGATATATGGGTACGACCAAGGAGGGTGAGTGTTTTCATGTGTGCTGTTTGCGTTGAAGCGAGGTTACTGATTGCTGCCGCTTGGTTCTTCTACAGGTTGTGGTGGTCTCTGGGAACAGATCCCTCATCAAGGACTTGATCCCCAATCTATCATTGTCAAGATTAAGAGTCTGTCGCAGGCTGCGGCTGTTACGCACTAGATACTACTTTGTTGCGTTGGAGGAAAGAAGGAAGAAGTGTAGATAAAAAATTGTAAAGTCCTACTTTTACTGACTGTAGTCTGCGTGTAACCATACAGATGTTTTCTTTTTTGTACTCTTTGCTGCGATAGAATTTTTCTTTTCGATTTCTTCTGGCTAGTTCTTGTGTGCCTTTAGTGCATACTCGGCCCTCTGTCCGAGGCCTAATATAGTTGTTAAGAGTATAAATAACACTAATAGAAAGAATAGAAAGAATAAGCATGGGCACATGGTGTAGTTGGTTATCACATCCGCTTAGCATCCAAGCTACATGCGGGGGGTGCTGGGTTCAATTCCCAGTGTGTCCATTGGAAGGGGGATCAATTAATCTTTTCTTCTTTCGAGAAAGATGGAAGGGCATGATATTCACCAAATTTAGAATTTGGTCATAACTGATCGTGTCGATCAAAGATTGAAAGGAGCCGCGGATTCTTTTTTTTTTCTATTTGAAATTGAAATTTCAACGAGTCGGTCAGTGGGCGACTGTGGGCGAGTGTTGTCAGTGATACAACGACTACTGGGGACTGGAAGCAACATGAGAAATCAATTTATAGCGTTGGATCCGTGTTCTGAAATATAGATTTTCGCAAGAAAGCGGACAAAAGTATGTATAGGCAGTAGAGTTGGTTTGAATACTTTCCCGTGTAAAATCGGTTATTCCCAATTATGCAGATTGTTAAGAGGTGTACATAGAAGCGTATAATAGCTTGGAAAGTTGAAAACCTTTACTGTAAGTCTCCACTTGAATACTTCTGTCGGGCACATGGTGTAGTTGGTTATCACATCCGCTTAGCACGTCTGAGGCGTTAGGTTCTGCGGGGGGTGCTGGGTTCAATTCCCAGTGTGTCCATCATACATTTGTTACAAACCCACTTTTTGAATGATTCCAATTACTTCAAGTTTACAGTGTGGCGCCGTATGTGTTTTTTGAAATCTCACCCGACGATCAGCGGTCGACCAATGGCACGCTATATTATTTACCTCCGCATTGACCTCCTTATGTTGGTCCTCCTTAATGAAGGTATCGGGCACATGGTGTAGTTGGTTATCACATCCGCTTAGCATTGGGTTTCAAATAATTTCACTAAGTGCCTGCGGGGGGTGCTGGGTTCAATTCCCAGTGTGTCCATAGCTTTTTGGATTTATCTATTTTAGAACAATTACACCGAGGTTCTGCTTCAAAATTGTTCTTTTTTCTTCAAGTTTTCAATGTGGCGTAGGGGTTTTTGAAATCCCGACGATCAGTGATCGATCGCTGCATATATTATTTACTTCCGTGTCACAACGCTGCCCGCCCAAGTAGCATCGGGCACATGGTGTAGTTGGTTATCACATCCGCTTAGCATGGGTTGCAGCTTATGTCTGCGGGGGGTGCTGGGTTCAATTCCCAGTGTGTCCATACTTGGTTTGAGGGCTTATTTTTTTCTTTGCCATTATGCCGCAGACTTTTTTTCGCATTGAAATTCATACCGCCGATCAGTCGAATTGGTTCCGTTTCCGCTCTCTTCGTTTTGGGGTCACGGGTGTATCTCCTTACTAGTTCTTAGCCACCTATTCAAGTGTGGTTGGCTGTTGTATCGGCTTGACATACATAGTTTCAACAAGCCAGAGTTTTTAAATCTAAAGTGGGTGGTTCAAACCCGGTGGCCTCTGTATATGGTATCCATTTTTCTGGTCAAATTCCATCTGCGTCCTCCTTGAGTTTGAGTTGTAAGCATGCGTGCTCGAGTACTTGCATGCATGCATGTATTTATCTGCAACTCTGCTTCTTGCGGTGTGCACATGGTGGAGTTGGGATCACGCTTTGCCGAGCATTGGCGGGAGTCTCGTGACTCTCCGCCTTTGCGGCGAGTGCTGGGTTCGATTCCCGGTGTGTGCGTCCACGTCCACCTTGCGATAAGACGGTACTTTTTTGTGGTTTGTTTCCGGCTTATACTTCTCGTATTTGTGCTAGACGACCTTTGTGCGCTTGATGTATTGTCTTGACTGGTTGCGAGATCTCTTCGGCGAATTCGTTATCATTGGACATGGGCAGACTGCACAGGCTGTACAACAGATATAAGAGATGCTATTGCTTATTGCGGCGGTGAGCAGCTGCAGAGTTTAAAGCTCAAATGGATTGGCGAGGTGGAAAGGCGAGGTGAAGGATAAGATTAAGAATAGTGTATTGAGAGGTGCATAGTACATAGTGATAGGTTCTAAAGGCATTAGAGCTGAAAGCAGGACTCACACGCAGAGTTGCTGCATACACATCCATCCACCTCTTCCATCTAGCTCGTTCCCGCCAATGCCTAATCCAGCTCGTTATGGCCAGGAAATGGCAAAAAAGGTACCCAATCTGATCAGCGAAAAGTTGCCTGAAAACTAGACGGAGGTCAGTGTCATCGTAGAAGGTAGTAGACAAGGACAAGGAAAACGAAAGGTGTGTATCAGAGAACCGGGACTCGACGTATCGTCCACAAAAGGGTTAGGGACGTTCAGACGGCACTTCCTAATTGCATTCGGTCAAAGGATCGTCATGTTGCTGGGCACCGATTTGGGCCAGCAGAAAGAGGGAAAACCGTACGAAAGACTAAACGAAGAACGGCCGCGACTCACCAGTACCAATGATTACAATCTCGACCTTGCTCGAGGACGGAAGAGTGGGAATGAAGAGGAACAGCGAAGAAAATTTTTGGTTTCGTTCATGAATTACATCTCCGTTTCAAAGCGGCAACCTCTGCTCCGATTGGCTCTTACGCGATCACGTACTAGTCACGGGCCGTTCCTGACGTGGTTGTCGCCGACCGCCAGCGAATTCCAAGTCGAACGGCGACGGTTGACTTTGATTTTGTTGTCTCTGGCGGTAACAGGAAAGATCTAAGAAGCATACGTCGCAAAATTTGTTACGGTGTTTCGTCCGACGTTTTCAGGTCCAGTTTCATTTCAAAACTCAGGCTCGAGCTTTTCTTGAACCCGAACCACTATCATCTCCGTCAAAGCAAGCCAGGAGTTTTCTTGACTTGAGCTTACCGGGGGCGTATACGATATTTAGCAACGAACGACAGATAGTTAATAGGTACGTATTGTTCGTTTTTCTTTCGGTGCTTTTTCTTTTTGCACATGTTATATCTAGCATTTCTTATGTCCAGCCCAGTTCTCCCGCTTTACTTTGCTCGGTTCCTTTCTACACAACTCTTCCCTTCCACCTGTCTGCCTCCTCTTTGCTCCCGGGGTTCCTTCTTTTCTTCCTTCTGCTCCCTTGAGTCTTACTTTTTACGAGCTTTGTGGTCACCCATCTCTATTCATAATCCAAACCTTTAACGTTGTACGTTGACGTTAACGCTAATGATAACTTTCTCCGTTGCCACAGGACCCCAACCCCAGCTTTGTCACGGCTGATTCACCAATTAGTATTAAAACTACTCAAGTTCTACTTCTTTACGACCCACGACCTACTGAACGACCTTTCCTCTGTCTTTGTCAAGTCGAGCAATGTGAGCATAGACTAATCCTCATCCATGTCTGCTGTCTTATACTCAATACCATTCTAGACCCACAGAAGCACCGTTTTGACTTGGAGACCATAAGTAACCATAACTGGAAGTATCCCTATGCAAACGCACTCGGGTCCTGCTCGCAATCCATCTCTCTCACCTCTACCTCCATCATTGTCTTTGTCTGGCACATCCAGAGGTAATCCGTCTATACCGAACACTTCCGTATCTGCATCTTCTTTTGCATCGGGCTCGGTCCCGACTTCAAACTCGGTTTCTACGTCCTCGGTACTCCTCGGCGTCCCGTCCACGTCCACGTCCTCACGTACATCCATGGCCCCAAGACCAAATTCAAATGGTACCTCGGGCTTGGGCTTGACCCTGTCTATTCCCAATAGTACTACACCTGAGGTGCATCATCGGTATTCACAAACTCAGACACAACCTCAAACTCTGGTAGACCAGAGAAGACGCCGTGAGCGACGATACACGGAACAAGAGGCGAGGCTGGTGGTGCTAGACAATGAAAAGGACGTTGTTCAGAACCAAAGTCATGATCTGGGTCTGAAACTCGAGGCACTCCGAAAGGCATTAGACATGCTAGATAAGAGTAGGTTCGAGTCTTTGGAGAGGTTGGAGGGTATTAAGGTTAGGAAGAGGAGTGGGGCTTTGGTTTCAAGTTCTGTCCAAGGGGATGGAATTGCAGACGTGGATCCAGAAGACTACGAAGCTGCACTCAAACAGCGTTGGATGGAAGAAAGAAGGCTAGAGTGGATTGAAGAGATGAGAAACAGGGTAACGAAGGAGGTTGGAATTCTGGAGGGTCTATCTGGGTCTTCGCCTTCATCTCCATTTGGAACAGCGAGAAAAGGTGGAAAGAGACCCGGTGTAGCTTCAAGTGGAAGTAAAAGTAAAACTGGAAGCGGCATCTCTCCGATTCAGCCTCGGGGTCAAGTTGTAGCTACTGCAACTATTTCACCCCGTGAGGAGAGGATAAATCGAAACTTGGCCTTGTTCCTCTCCAAGTCTCCTTCCACCTTTTCTCCTCACACGAGTGCCTTGTTGACTTCTCCTCGCTCTTTACGCACTCGGCCTCGCGGTTCTACTGTCGATTTCGAAACAAAGACACCGGCTTCCCCAACAAAGACTTCGTCTACATATCGGAGCTCTGTCGTTCCTATAGGTAGACACAGCCGGGAACATAGTCTACAACACATACAGCAAGAAACGAGAAGAATCCGCTCTTCCTCGTCTCATGATCTTTTATCTTCCATTGATACTGGCTCTAGTTCTGATGCCAGCGACGAGACCTCTTCTACTCAAAGTCGAAACCACAACCAAAACCGAACTCTCCACACCGTCTCGCCTCTCAAGCTTCGTGCAAAGAAGGAAGAAGAGATGTTGGGGGTTGTTGTGGAGGGATTGAAGAGTTGGAGGTTGCAGTCACAATCACAGTCTCAGTCTCAGTCTGGGTCTGTATCGAAAAGGATATCCACTACATCTACAACGACTGCGTTTACCTCTGCCTCGACAAACTCGGGCTCGGACTCGAACTCTCCCTCGTCGGCTACAGCTTCGTTGGACTTGGAGACGCCTACGACGAGTGTGTTCAAGTTTCCAGGACGTGTGTTGGATGTTATACAGGATGTTGATGGTGAAGGTACCGAAGTTGACAAAGAGAAAGAAAAGTATCTGTCTGGTTTGGATCTGGAGGAACGTGTTCAAGGCAATCCGGAACAAGGCATGTTTAGTCCTCCATCTCCTGCCTCGACGATATCGTCTACTTTTGGAGGGGGAAAAGTAGTGCTAGGTACGGCGACGATCTATCGTCGGTTGGCTGCTAGTACTGTTTCGCTCTCCGACCTCGATCTCCCTCCTAAAGAGAAACTGGACTCGGATATGGAAGAGCTGGGATTCTTGCCAGAGTATGCAAAGGAGCTAATCGGGCTTTTAGATGGAAGTTTCAGTTCCGACCTATTTTCTGGTCTTGGTGTTGCGGAGAAAGATAAAGGCGAAGATGACGATGAAGAAAGAGAGAGGGGCAGGAGTAGAGGTAGAAGCAAGGCGAGAACGTCCAAGCTGCTTTCGAGGATCGGTTCCGTTTCTGATGTTAGGAAGAGCAAGGTTGTGCCGGTGATTACGAGCGCGCCGCTACCCAGCCTTCCACCGATATTGTCTACTCCTTGTTCGTTGTCTTTCCCGCAGGACAAATCCGAATCTAGGTCACCTTCGCCTCGTCAAGAAGGGATGCTTAGGCCAGCGTCAACGTCTACGTCGACACCAAAACCTAAATCCGCGCCGGCGTCAAGGCCAAGGTCGACCTCGAGAGCGACATCCAAATCGAGATCCCGTTCGCGTTCTCCCTCTCCGGCACCGAGACCAGTTTCACCCTTGCAGCTCTTGAAGCCAAAGCCTGGATTGGAGTTTGATTTTGATTTTGCTTCTGATGGCGAGGCTGGCGGAGATGGCATAGGCGAGTTTGGATCCCTGAGTCAGGGTTCTTCTGCAAACCTGAAAGGGCGTCCTTATTCTACCATTGCTGCCTTTTCTACCATGCCAACGACGACAGCGGCTGCAACAACTAGGACTAGGTCGAGTCAGCTGCTGACTGTCCCAATGGTAGATGACAAGGACCGACTTGCTGTACCATCGG